TTAACAATTTATTGGAGTCTCTAAGTTTCATTTATTTATTTTATGCTGTGGAACAAATGGTTGAGTTCCCGGAAAGAGGGTAGATTTCTGTTCGTAACGGATTAACTCAACTTTTGTTGACATACTCTTTTTCCTTCTCTGTAATGTCTGATTTAAGTCAAGTAGTTCCTGAATGCAGAGGTCACATCCTTCTTCACTTGTCTTATACTCCAAATTTCATAAAGAATTGGAAGATCACCAAGTACTTTAAAGAACATATGTACCTGCAAATTTTATTCATCATAAGTCCTCACATAAGAGGGATTTAAATTGTTTTCCAGCTTTTGTTCTTTCACTAGCCCTATCTAATTCTCTTCCTCCATACTCCTCAGGAATTACCGGTGAAGAGAATTAAAATTCTTAATTTGTGTTACTATTACTGTTTGACCTTTATCAGGTGTTGATCAGGAGTCATTGAATTAAATTAAGTCATTTAATCTTCACAAGTCTCTTATTATACTTGTTTTATTAGTGAGGAAACAAGAGGGTTAATTAACTTACCCAAGGTCACACATCTAGTGATATGTTACTTTTCCCCCCACAGCATGCTGTGTTTTTAGGATGTAAAATGAACCCAGTCCAATTTATGGTCCTCAGGAACAGAGACTGATTTGTGCTTTGTTTATGTATAACTGCTATAAACCCAGCCAGGTTCTGGGCCTCTAACAAGTGTCTACTGTGCAGGAATAGCAGTGAGGGAATGATATCTTTGGAGGAAGGTGGGTAGTGAAGATAAGACACTATAAAGGTGAACTGTTTTAAAGGAGAATTTATTCTTCTGCTTTTGGTTTCATTCTTACAGTTAATTACCACTAATTATCTAAATTAGCTAAACAAAAATTTCTCTTTTTTTCTCTGTAAATTCTAGTATAAATGTACAGCTTTGGAAAAACTACTTATTGCTTTAGTACTTAGGAATTGGGGAGAATTAAATTTAATATAGTATGATTAGTGAAAATAAACCACCGTTAGTAGAAGGTTTTAGAAATACCTCTGTAATCTTTTAAGGAAAATTTCAACTCTGTATAGCTTCTTCTCTTATTAATAAAAAAATCAGCCATAATTTGGGGAATATGTATAACTCTATCATTTACTGAAATATCCCAACCATTATTGAGCCTTTAATAATGATAAGACATCTAGGGTTTATGATAAAACTTCAGTTTATTGTCTTTTATCTTATGTCCCATGCTGAAGAACTACATTGAAATGCTGAACTCGTATCAAATTTCCTGTGAAAATGTTAAAAATCTTTATCTCCCATAAATTATTTTAGAGAAATTTCACTTGATGGATGATGTATTATACCCTCAGATGCATAACTGACAAGTTTATACTTGCATATGGTAAATTCAAGCAAGAAATAAAAGCAGAAATGACTTGAAGTTTTGTTTTCAAATGATATCATCAGTAACATTCACTTTAAGGCTAGCTGCTTTTCTTTAAGCTCATTTCAGAGATCTTGAAAAACAAAAGCATAGCTCTTTATCCAGGATCTTTGGTTTGTATCATTCTCTTTTGACAGATCTTTAAGGGTTGAACACAGAATAATTGACGAAGTGCAAACAAGAAGAAATGTTATCTCATTCTATTTTTAATAATGTAGTATTATTAGCTTAATAAAAGATTAATTTTCTATTAGTGAGTTGAAAGTAATGGAACCATAATCACTACTATCTCTCCTTCTACATTTCTATTTTTCTGCCTCCTGTTCTTTAGAGTTCCTAAAAACCTTGTGAATTTTAAGAAATGAAATGTTTCTAATATTATTTACATTATTTCTAAGGAAAACATGAACTATTTGTGTTTTTTCAGCCTGTGAATAAAAAATCATTTTATAATATTCAAGCAGAATAAGCAATGCCAGATCTCATGAATATTAACTCCAGATTTATTTAATTTTACTTTTCTTAAAAAGAAAAAAATACATTTTCAGTTGTCAAGCCATGTGGGGTCTAACAGATGAACACAAAATAGCTGAGTGACATTTATGTATATGTAATATTTCCTATTCAGGTATGTCCCCGATATATATATATATATATATATATATATATATACTCACTGTTTAAATTTTAAATTTATTTCATTTTACTCACTGTGTTATCAATGATATTTTCAAAGTTTATCTTTGGAGAGTCTAGATTTTAACTATTTTCCCACTGTAAGTTTTGGGCCTGCAACTGTTTTTTTTTTAATTATTTATTTATGCATACAGAACTGGGGTACAGGCCAGAGGTGCAGGGGCGGCGAGAGGCTTCACCAGAGACAGAGTGGGGAGCAGAACAGGCAGATCGAGGAAGTACACTGCTGAGGGGAGCAGCAGGCGGGTCAGGAGGGTCTGCCGCGCCATGTGGTCACCTCCGGGGCAGGCGGGGGAATCGAGCTCATGCGGAAGTGGCTTTAGCTTCTCAGTGCTGCGCCACCAGGGAGGGCCTGCAACTGTGTTTTAATAAAGACCTTTAATTCTGTATTTGTGTAAAGATTCTGAAAGAACAAATGAGCACCCTCACAATTTTTTAAAATATTTTTTAAAAGATTTATTTATTTATGCATACAGTACTGGGGTACAGGCCAGGGGTGCAGGGGCGGTGAGAAGATTCATCAAAGACAGGTAGGGAGCAGAACATGGTGACTGTTGAAGTACACTGCTGAGGGGAGCAGTGGCCGGGTCAGGAGAGGTCTGCAGGACCATGTGGGTCACCTCCCAGGGTGGGGATCGAACTCATGCTGAAGTGGCTTAAGCTTCTTCATGCTGTGCTTTAACCTGCTGCACCACCAGAGAGGGCCACCTTCACAATTTTTAAAGACTTCTTCAGAGTCTCTAGCCAGTATCACCATGTACATACATCTCTTTCTTTTCAACACCATGAATCATTAAAAATGTCAGGTTCATTACTGTGGCATGCTGAAATGACTGAGTGGGAGCTGTGCCCAGCACTGCACTGTAAAACAACCCATCTGCAGACACATTTCCCTGTACTGTTTTCATCTGCCCAAGTAGATTTTCTTTGACACTTTGATGATTGCTCTTTTTGTTTGACTTTGGAGAATTCAAATCTGTGAAATCCGAAGCTCAAATATGAGCACAGTATTAAAATGCTAGCTATCTGTGGTTTCCTACTTTTATCTAAAGTTTCCTACTTTGGAGATTGTGTTCTGCACATCTCCACTTCAGTCATATAATTAAGATGTATAAATAAATTTGTTTTTTTAATTGTAGAAATTGGTAATCCCACTTTTAACTATGTTCAACTAAAATTAAAGTTGGGAGCAATTTAAAACTAACCCATAGCAGTCTGTTTTCTATGCTAAGTGATCACCATTTAGAAAACTTCAAAATGAGAGAAATAATTTCTGTAGGCTTGATATACAACGTTAAATGCAAAAGAAGAAAAGACATTTTTGAATAAAGTAGGGGGGAAAATAACCTAATGTGACTTTTCTTTCAGTTCCTTAAAGTTAGTAATTTTCTCCATATCTACTTAATTTCTTCAAGACAAGTGTGTCTAGCTGGCCCTCTAAAGTATTAGCCAGAAGATGGCGACATAGGTCCTTATTGCCTAGAACTGTCCAGGTGCTGAACTCCGTCTCAGAGATTAAGAGAAGCTCAACGACCAGAGAGACCAGGGATTCCACCTAATTCTTCCGAAAGGTTGTTAGGCTGTGGGTAAGAACCCTAAAAACCGAAAGCGGCAGTTTGAAATGTCCGCCGCATTTACAAAACATCCTCAAAAGATTTCCTTCCCTAAGTTGAGTCACCACAAAGCTATGGGAGGTGATGCTATTCACTGAAATTAAAAGGGTAGTAGTCGTGAAAGGGCGTGTGTGTGTGTGTGTGTGTGTTCGCGCGCGCGCAGAATACATACCAGATTTTTTTTTCCTGTATCTTTGAGATGTAGCTCTTTGCCTGTCCTTTTACAGTCCTTTAAAATTCCTTTCTCCCGCTACCAACTCCCCAAGGTTAAAATAGATGTCGCAGGCAATGTCCTCCCCAAGGCGGCCAGGCTGCACTATGAAATGATGAAAGGAAGGGGAAGTTTTTTTAAAATCTAAGACACACTCCGTCTTTTTTCCTTCAATCAAGAGCAACTGACAGGCTGATCCAGAACTGTACATCTCCCTCTTCAGGCTCCGTGTGTTCCTTTTCTCATTTCCTATTGCCACTCTGTGATCTGACTGGACTTAAGAATTTGACCGCAATATGGAGCACTAGATAGTTAGACTATCCCCCTCGAGTTGGCTAGTGGGAGGAGTTATTTGTTGTAATGTTGGTCTGACTGGAGGATGGACTGTGTGTAAGTCAGTTCTGAGTCGCTTTCAGCAAAAAAAAAAAAAAAGGGGGGGGCTTGAAAGCAAAGACGCTGAGCTAGAGTGAGAGGAGGGCGGGGACCCAGAGGAAAGAGACACTTGGGGCTGGGGAAGTGTTAGGAGGAGGGTTAGTGTGGGAAGGAGGGAGACTAGCTGTCGGTGCAACGCCTGAAGGGAAAAGAGGGGTGTGGAGAGGAGGAACAAGACTGAAAGAGAAGGCTAAAGGGGAGAAAGGAGTAGGCTTAAGAGAAGGAGAAGAGGGAGGAGTGGGAGAGAGGAAGGAGAGAAGCAGGGAGAGGGAACTCAGAGTGTGACCATGAAGATGAGGTTTCTCTATTCCAGATACTTCTAGGATTAGAAACTGATTGCTAGTGGGGAGATTCCAGCTCGGGCAGCCAGTTGGGCAGCAGCAAAGTAAAATGGACAGCGAGAGACAGACGTTTCAGCCACCTCTCCGCTGCCCAGAGATCCCGGATCTGTTCTCAGACCAGCCCGTTTCCCAGCTTGAGTCTCTGGGCACACAAGATCACAGGAGCCCAGGGAGCGCCTAGAAGCCGCTCCACGGAGATGCCTTCGCCCGAGCAGTAAGAACTTCCCGCTTAAGTCCCTGCATCTCCCCTGCCTCTTCGAGAAACTCCCGAAGGGAGAGGGGAGGACGACCCCAGGGGGAGGGGCGAGGGGGATCCTAGCTCCGCTCTTTCTCCCCTCCCCCTCCCCCTCCTGGCGAGCAGGGATGGAGGTGCTGGGCTCCGGACTGGGCAACAACACCACGGCGTCCGAGGGCTCCTTTGAGACACTTGGCAACGCTACTGGGACCTCCGACGTGACCTTCAGCTACCAAGTGATCACTTCTCTGCTCTTGGGTACCCTTATTTTCTGCGCGGTGCTGGGCAATGCGTGTGTAGTGGCCGCCATCGCCCTAGAGCGCTCCCTGCAGAATGTAGCCAACTATCTCATCGGCTCGCTGGCTGTCACCGACCTCATGGTGTCGGTGCTAGTTTTGCCTATGGCAGCGTTGTACCAGGTGCTCAACAAGTGGACACTTGGGCAGGTCACCTGTGACCTGTTCATCGCCCTCGACGTACTGTGTTGCACTTCGTCCATCCTGCACCTGTGTGCCATTGCTCTGGACAGGTACTGGGCTATCACGGATCCTATCGACTATGTGAATAAGAGGACGCCCCGGCGCGCCGCTGCGCTCATCTCGCTCACTTGGCTCATTGGCTTCCTCATCTCCATCCCGCCAATGCTGGGGTGGCGTACTCCCGAAGACCGCTCGGACCCGGATGCGTGCACCATTAGCAAGGACCATGGCTACACAATCTACTCCACTTTCGGCGCTTTTTACATCCCACTGCTGCTCATGCTGGTTCTTTATGGGCGCATCTTCCGAGCTGCACGCTTCCGTATTCGTAAAACAGTCAAGAAAGTGGAAAAGAAGGGACTAGACACCCGCTTTGGGGCGTCTCCCGCCCTGCAGCCTAAGAAGAGCGTAAATGGCGAGCCTGGTAGCAGAGACTGGAAGCAGGGCATGGAGAACAAGGCAGGGGGAGCTCCCTGTGCCAATGGTGCAGTGAGGCAGGGTGACTATGGCGCCGCCCTAGAGGTGATCGAGGTGGAGAGGATCGGCAACTCTAAAGAGCATCTGCCGCTGCCCAGCGAGGCGGGAGCTGTATTTTGCGCCCCCGTCTCCTTTGAGAAGAAAAATGAGCGCAACGCAGAGGCCAAGCGTAAGATGGCCCTGGCCCGCGAGAGGAAGACGGTGAAGACCCTGGGTATCATCATGGGCACCTTCATCCTCTGCTGGCTGCCCTTTTTCATCGTGGCCCTAGTCCTGCCTTTCTGCGAGAGCAGCTGCCACATGCCCACCTTACTGGGTGCCATAATTAACTGGCTGGGCTACTCCAATTCACTGCTCAACCCTGTCATTTATGCCTACTTCAACAAAGACTTTCAAAACGCATTTAAGAAGATCATCAAGTGCAAGTTCTGTCGCCAGTGACTGAGGAGTAGCGAGCCAGTAAGCCTCCCACAGCCTTCTGTCATCAACATCTATGATAATTTGCAAGGTGTCCTCCGATTTTCTCAGCTGCTTTGCCCTTCGCTTTGACCTCAATTTACAGTCCCGCTCCTTCCTCACTTCCCCAGCAGGGCTTTCGGGCTAGGAGGCCCCCAGGGGCTTGACTGAAGGTTGTCAGATACTCCTCTGGTCTATAAGCTGACTCTTAGGCTCAGACTTTGACCTCAAATCAGTTTTGATCCCAGCTATGTCTACTAGCTCTTCTGCCCTACAAGTCTTTGCGCGGGAAGTTAAAGTCTTATCTGTGCAAGACAAAAATAAAATCCAAACAAATAAGCTGTGCACACCCAGGGGCCTGCGTTCAGTAAAGACACCCAATTGATCACCCCACAGCTTGAACTTGGACTTCAAGTTTAGTATGACTTTGCTCCACTCCTCCCAAATATCCCATGCCCCAGCAAAGTTCACTTTCTCACTTTCTCTCTCTCTCTCTCTCTCTCTCTCTCTCTCTCTCTCTCTCTCTCTCTGGTGACATGGAGGAGCCTGTGGGGGGAGGATATTTGTAGGGTGGGGGAAGGGGGTAATACTTATCCCACTTTCCTTTCCCAGCTTTCTTTAAGCCCTGGACCGATGCACTAATTTGCTAGTCAGGAAGGTAGGTAGATCTGCTTTTTCCCTGTGCAGGTGATGCCCCAGGGATCCCAAACTCCCGCTGTAGACTTGGCAGATAACTTCCACGTACAGCCCCATGCTTTGTTCTCTCGGATTGGAGACAAGTGGCTGGAAACTGTCTGTTAGAGTGGACTTGTAAGTACGAGATTTAACCAGCTTGTGCGAGCAAAGGGGATTGAGGAAATTTTTTATCCGCGCTTGCCTTGGAGTCTGCACTCACCAAAGAAACGGACGACGGTAGGAAGAGCGGACTTCGGTTTGTTTAGGTTGCTGGCAAGTGCACGTGTTGGCATCGCCACTCACTTACTGCGGGAGGCGCCCGCCGGCCGCTGCGTGCCCGCAGGGGACGCCAAAAGGCCTGAGATGCCTGCAGCTCCCCACCAGTCCTTCGCCCCGCCAGCTCTAAGCGCTCGCTCCTAAGACTAAAATAGACCGGATCCGTCCTGCCATCTTGTCCCTGGAAGCCCCGCTTGAAAAAGTTAGTTCTCGGGAAAGAGTAGGAAAACCCCAAAGGAAGCGTTGTCCGGAGACGCCCAGCAAGCGCCTCTGGCAGTCCAGGCTCAGCTGGCACTCCCGGTGAAACCTGACCGGGCAGTTTTATCCAGATGCAAACTCACTCTTCCCAATGCACCTGACCGGGCAGTTTTATCCAGATGCAAACTCACTCTTCCCAATGCACCCTTTTCCCTTTTCGGAGAGCTGTTCCCAACAGATACAGGATATGTTCTGTCGGAGGGCCAATGCCCAGAATAACCAGGACCTTGATTTCCAAATAAGGATTCTGGGCTTTCAGTGGAACGAGTTCTGATAGAACTAGCGCTGTTACCTTAAATACGGGGCTCCTCAGGACTAGTTAGGGATGCTTTCCTTGGGGAGATCTGAGAATCTGGTACCGTGTTACTTTCTCGCACCCTGGTCTGTCTGTCCTTACACCATAGCTGCACCGGAAACCAGCTTCTAGCTGTTCGAGTTTGTGGAGCACTGGAAGCTTTCTCCCCCTCAAAAATTATTCTTTCAGCCGTGCCACTTTTGCTGAGAAACCTGTGATAATTCTTTACTGACCCCAGAAGGGAAGTTACTTTGGTGCTCCATTTGAATGTAAATTTCCATCCACAGGGCCAGGATCAAGAGATTGGGCTTAGTTAGCTCTAGCCTCTAACATTCCGATGGTGAATGGCTTCCTTTTAAATAATTGAACAGTTACTGATTTTTAGACTTTCCTTTAACTGTACCTTTTGAATGTTTGTATCTGCTGTTTTGCGAACTAACCATATTGCGAAAATGCTAATGAAAAGTTCACTTGTGTTTAAATTTAAGATGAAAAGACAGCTGTATCACTGAAGCCATGTTGTTGTCAGAATGGGGGTGGGGATGCCTCTATTTTGTATCTTTTTCTCTAACCTAAACTGAGAGTCAGCACTGAATGGTTAAAATAGACACAGTATAACAACGTTGAGAATTCAGTGATGTTCTGTCTATACCTATGTAATACTGGTAATGGGCTTTGATGAGAAAATAAGGCAGAAGTCTCCATTCCAGCAATTGTTTATTTGAAATTCCTTTTTTTTCTTGCTTACAATAATTTAAGTAGAGCTATATGAAAAAAAAAATTCTGTCTTCCTACACTTTTAGAATAAATTCTAAACTCAAAATAATCCAAGTGCAAAATTTTCTCTTGCAAATTATGCCTTGGCTAGCACGTATTATATTTGAAACTTTAAAACTTCCATCTATTTCTGTCTTTTACAGAACTGTATGCAATGATTTGCAGACATTTGTTCTTCCTGCTTTGGAGAATTTATTTAAGAAGGGGCATCCAATTGGACTATAATTGTTAAAAAAAATAGGTAAATTTAAGGAATAAGTTTAAAAGAGCTACTTAGTAGCAAAGAAAAAAAAGCCCTTTAATGCTTTTTCTTTTAAAATATAATGAAGTAAAGTATACATGCATCAAAATTGACTTCCAATCTTCCTGTGACAATAAAGGACTGACACTAATGGTAATGCTACAATAAACTGACACCAGACTCACATGAAGCTTTATTGTAATGAGGACACTGTCTACTTGTATTTATTTGTATAAATTTAAAATTGAAGTTAAAAAATACAGTTATCAGAAGATCCTAATATATAGATCTGAGACCTGAAACTTAAAGAAATAAATGTAGTTTTTAGCTCTGCAACTCATTCTAGCTGAGTAATTTTCTTTTAAAAAAAAATCCTTTCTCTGGGATGAGATCACATCATCATTTTGCCATGAACCATGCATTTTCTCTGACTGACACCTATAGATAAGATTTAGACATCTGTCTAATGAATATGGACAGGGTAAGGGGATGTGTGGAAGTGAAATGGAGCCTCTAGTAGAAGCAACAGAGGCCCAGCCTGCCTTTTAAAGCAGTTCCTTTGTCTTCCCCACCATTTCCAGCTAGAAGAAACTGAAGCAACTCATTCTTTTGTGGTTTGTCACTCAATTAGGCTGGAGAAGCATTTTCTTTCTGCCTGGGTCTCATTTGATAGTGGGATTCTGTATATCCTACTACTATACTATGTAAAGTCAATTCTTATGCTGTTTTCCCCTAGTGAGATGATCACTAATATTTCTTGCTTCAGATGCTGTATTTGTTAATTCCACTGCATTCTAGTATCAGATAGTTGCAGAGGTAAGGGAACTCAGGTCAGTCCCAAAAGTGAACAAAAGGGCAGTCTGAAGCTGCATGGAGTCTAGATCAGACAATGTATGCACAAACATAGCCTCCCAAACATGAAAAGCACAGACAGAGGAATTGAGAGAGCAGGAGCTGTTTGGAGATTCTTATTTGAAAAGTGTTACATAAAAGCATCCCTGACCTTGAATAAAATGATGCATTGGCACACCTTATTTTGGATTCTGGCTCTCTCCCTCCTTAGCCTTTGTTCTGATCTCTCTTCCACCAACGGGACAATGGCTTTCTGTTTTGGACAGCCCCTTACCTTGAACTTCTGTCAACACTACAGTTCAGAGAAAGAATTGTTATCAGTCACTTCCAGTGGAATTAACAAGCTGGACAACAATCTAGCAGCTCCCAAGTGTCAGAATCTGTCAGATAATGTTCAAATGTGGGACTACAAATTAATATGTGTTGTTACCTTGTAGGGATTCTCAACTTACATGGATGTACAATAACTAATTATTAAGGTTAAATAAATATGATAGATTATAAGTATATACCTAGGACACATCAGAGCAGCTTGGCTGTATAAGCACTCGAAAGACAAAGGTCATTGTGAGTCAGAAGTAAGTAGGGAAACTTGAGTAGGAAAACCTGTGTAGAGCATCCAGGACTGAGCTCTGGGAAGTGGGAAGAAAAGGCAAAATTCTTTATTCCAAAACTAGTCTGATTCCTTTTTCCTATCAAGGTGGATTGCTGGATGCTGACAAACTGGGTTGATTATGGAGGTGGTAATCCTAGAGAAAGATTGTCGAGGACCTTGACCAGCAAGGCCGGAGAGTTGGAGCCCCAGGGCCGGCGAACAAAGAAAACAGTCACACATGTGTATCAGAACAGAGAGAGAGTTTATTTTGTCTTTATCAGGTTTATATAAAATACAAGAGGTGGGGGATGCAGAAGTCAGGAAAGGAGAAAGCCAATGGATACTAGACATGTAGCAGTGCTTGATAACATGGTTCTCGCGAGGGACAAAATGGGCGAGAATGGAGCAGTGGTTAGATAATAGGTGGGTGGGAGAAGAAAGAGGAGAAAGAAAAGGTGGGGGCAAGGAGTTCTTCCCGCATGCCTTTTACAACCCGGATGTTTTTCTCTATCCGGACTCCATTTCACCTTTTTATGACTGCTGACAGACGCCAGATGCTGGCCTCGGTCCCCAACAAAAGATGAGGTTGAAAACTAACCATATGTTGTGTCAACCAAGTCTTGAAAAGAGAGCAGAGTCTAAAGCCAGAGGAATGGGTTGGGGTGACAAGAGAAGAGAAAGGATATTTTTCAGGTTTTCAGGTCTGGCCAGGAACACATCCAAGGCTGTGATGGCAGTGCTGAGTCCCTGCCATCTGACCACCACAGGTTGGCATCTCACAAAGCCTTAGCAGGTACTTTGCTAACATTCAGGCAAGCAGGTGAAAAGAGGCGATTTTATTTAGAGAAATAGATATAAGAAAATGTTTATTAAAGAGAAATAAAGAGGGACTGCCAGACTTGTAAAACCAGGCCAGGGAGGGTCAAGGAAGCCAAAGTGGAGTCTTGCCTCAGAGAATATAGACCTTTCTTTCCCTGATTATTCCAAAGCCCCATCAGACTCTATGTGGTTGGTTAGTTCTCGGTGGTCTCACT